CTAGAAAAATATAAAGAAATGCTATTCTAAACTGAGCTAAAGAGATTGGACGAAGGGATGGTTTTAAGAGGAGAAAAAGAGTGCTATTTATAGGTGTTTTTCAACACCTTTGGCCGGGTACCCGACCGGGTATAGGTACATACCCGACCGGGTACCGGTCAAAATCAGATAATCTCCCACGTTTCATTGTTCCAGCACGTTAATTTGTCCGAGTCAAGTCAGACCCGACCGGGTCAAGTGAGGGACCCGACCGGGTTTGGTCTAAATCAGATTTTTTCCAAAATCTTTGTGATCTTCAGCATGTTCTGGTGTTCCGGGTCATGTCTGACCCGACCGGGTCGGGTATGGGACCCGACCGGGTCTTACTTTTCCTTCTTAGATCTGTTCCTCAACTGACCCGACCGGGTTCAAGGTCTGACCCGGTCGGGTTTTTGTGCTCCTGGGTCTTTTTGTCTTCAGTTTTTCTCCCTTTTTCCTTGCTACAAACTCTATCACTATTCTAAAACTCCGAAAAAGAAGGAGAGAACAATTACTAACAAAATAAAACAAATACTTACAAACTAACTAAAAGTGATGGAAAATCCACACTCAATCAACATAAAAACATACGTTTATGCACTATAAACTAGTGCATATCAATCTACAATGTTCTGTCCAGGAGAGGGGCAGGAGCGTCATGCTAGGGCCCACAAGGGCCATCGCCTCGATCACCAAACTCGGTATCAGAAAGTACCGCAGCCGAGACTTGCTAGATGTGTTTGCAAGAGAAGAAGAAATGAGTTTCTTTCCCATCCGGGTCCACCGGAATTTGGGGCCGACTCAGTATAGCCCCTTCATCAGGGAACACATGGTGCATTGGAACAGAACTTGCTGAAGACATCGGACGGACTTACCTGGTGCAAGTGAAGGCGGAGGAAGGAGTTTCGCGGCTTAGGTTTCCTAACCAAGAAGACGAAGGCCCAAATAAAATGAGATGGCAAAAGAGCTTTAGAGAGAACGGTAGACGTTTAAATAATCAAAAAATTAGGGCCATGGGATCGCTTGGAATTCACAATCGTAGCACTCGAGTACCGAATGCAGAGAGGTGGATTAGGAGTTGTGTTGGGCTAAGGTCTCGTATCAGACACGTGTTACCCACATTTAATGCAAAGTGGCGCTACAGTCCACCCAAGAGGATTTGAAATTTGAAACTGGTTGAACTGCTCGACTTACAGTCCTAAAATCAGCCCTGCTGATTTAGAGAGTGGGGGGTTCGTGATGGTATCATGGGTCCTGACCATGGCCCAATTACATAGTCCGGTCCATAACGGGGTCAGACCTTAACCATGGGGTTAGCCTATGGATGGGATCAAGCCCTAAAGCGGGGTTATGTTAACGAAACCGCTAAGCCCAATTAGGGAGTAGGCCCACAATAGGAATCCGCAGCCAGGCCGAACTGGACAGCAGACCTCAAGCCTGGACGGAGTTCTAACAAGGTTAGGATGCTCCTAGGGTTTACGTGGCAGGTTATTATTTGAGCATAGCTATTCAACAGCAGGTTGGACTCAACGAGAGACGTAAGCTCAGAGGAGACGATCATTGGATAACGATCAAGATGCTACAGGAGTTCTATTCGAAATAATATATGTTCCGTGATTAATAGCATTTAAAGCAGTGGTTTCCTTCTAGGATACCAGTTCTTGTAACCTATAAATAATTCTTGTAACTCTCCCAGATGGGGAGGAAAAAAATCATTCTCTCAAATAAGAACCACACTGCTTTACACCATTATATTTCAATATCTCGTTGAATTTAGCTCTCATAGTTGGATTAAGCTCCATCAGAAAGAAAGACAGAAAAAGAATCTTCTTCAATGTCGGCTTAGAATTAGGGAAGAAACAAAAGTAAATGAGGAGCAACAAAGAAAGAAAAAAGAAAAAGAAAAAAGGATCAAGGAAAGAAAATTGAGAGAGGGAAGAAAGAAAGAAAGCAGTTGCCACGTGGGCCACCACGCAGCCACCACACATGTCCTTAACTGAAAAAATAATTGAGCATTTTTTAAAAGTTAGAAGTTTTATTAAGTTGTATTCAAGTACACACATCTAACTTTTGTGACATAGTGGGAGAGATTATTTGACAATTTTTCCCTTTCTTTTTTTCATACATTTTCATTTCAACTTTCTTATTTTTTATATATCTTTATATTATTTACTACTCCTATTCACTCTCAAAACCTAATGAAAAGTCCTATATTTGTGGCACCATTAAATAAAGAGAGAATTCCCTAAATGTGACTAAAAGAAGTTGAAATTGCTAAAAGAGGACATATTATTTTAAATTCCCTAAATAGGACTAATGATTACACTTTTACCCCTACCCAGTTGTGCGCATTTCACCTTTACCCTCTGCAATCGATCGCTGCCATTCTCCCAGTTGACATCCATCAACCGTGATACCTTCCTCTACCATGGTTGCTCTGCCATCTACTGACACCGCCGCAGCTCCGCCATCGATGACACCGTTGCAGCAATTTCTCCAACCAAGTCAGGGATGTATTCTTCCCCTTCTTCTCCTTCTTCTTCTCCTTTCTCCTCTTTTCCCAGGTTATCTGTATTATAATTTTTTCAATTTTTTTATTAAAAAATGAATATACTATTTTGGATCTAAAATTTCAGATGAAAAGTGAGTTACAACGAATGACCATGATTGAAAATATCTGAATTTATATTTTATTTGCCAATTTTGTTTAATTCTGATAAATTCTAGAAAATGTCACTTTTCTAATATGAAAATGTCAAAATTATTAGTTATTTGAAGAAATTGCCACTTTTACGATAATATGTTTATCTCAGAAAATACAACTTTTCTAATATGAGAATGTCAAAATTATAGTTATTCCAAGAAAACGCCACTTGTAGGACAACATGTTTATCAAGATGCCAGTCTGAATTTGAAAAAATGACATTACAAATGTTATAATTTCAAAGTGAGATTGTCATAGTACTGCCATAAAAGTGACATTTTTTTCAAAACATGACATTCTAAGATAAGCCATAAAAATGGCATAAATGCCATAAGAATGACATTTTTTTATGGACATATCACATTTTCAGATTGTCATCCTGATAAATATATTGTCACAAACGTGACAATTTTTTCAAATAACCAATAATTTTGACATTTCAGATTATAAAAGTGACATTTTGCTGAATAAATAAAATTCAAACACAAAAAATCCAAATGAATAAGTAAAATTCAAATGCAATCCCAGTTAATAAAAGATCGATGAATAAATAAATAAAAATTCAAACTCAGGAATTTCCTATCAGTAGTTTTTCAAAGAAAAACTGTTTTTCATCGATCTGAAATTTTCAAATCCAAAAAATTACTTATAATTTGAAAAGGCAGTAAATGAATAGAAAACATAGAAAACAGAGTGCAGAGGTGGAAGAAGAGGAAGATGAAGAGGAAGAGGATGAGGATGAGGAAGAAGAAGAAGACCTGATTTTTCCGAAGGAACCGTTGAAGACGTGGCAGCCGCCGTTAAGCAGACGGTTGATATGTTCGCGATCGAGATGGTGATCGATGTCGCTCAAGCTACGTCCATGGCAGCTCAAACGGAAGACAAGGCTGTAATCGCAAGTGTAGCGATCGATGACAGAGGATTGGAGAAAGGTGATTTTGGGATAAAGGCTAAAAATGTAATCTAGAATTCTATTTATGAAATTTAAAACTTCAAGTCCTATTTTGGAATTTTAGCAATGTTTTAGTCCCATTTGTGGCAATTTCTTTTAAATAAAGGGAGATTTCAACAAATAGGAGCAAAACGTACGGATTTTCCAAAACTAAGACCGAAGATTCGCGTAATACTCAACTGCACCTGCATTGACCACAATACCCTTACCTTTAGGAAATATCAGACATTAAATAGACAATAAATACACAATAAGTAGACAATAAATAAAAAATAAATTCTGATAAAATAATCTATTCAAATCCAAGTGTGATCTGCTTGAGTACGACTGCGACGGCGGAGTTGAACTACGACTTGGACGGTGAGGCAAGGCAGAGATCTGGATGGCGAGGCGAGGCGAGGCGGAGATGTGGAGGAGAGGCGAGGCGTCGAGCGGGAGGGCATCTACGGTCAAAGGTGGAGGCCTGCGTTCCATCGCAGGAAGAGAAGTTGCGGTCGAAGGTGGAGGCCTGCGAAGTCGATGCAAGGGTGGAGGGTAGAAACGGGGAAAAAATTAAGGTTCCTAAAACTAGAACTAAATAGAACATACGGATGGAAAAAAACTAAGTAGATCCTAATAATGTAAACTTTGCATGATTTGGTCCTGTTTTGCACAATTTTCTCTTAAATAATCCACGATAGAGTATATCACTAGTTAATTGTTTCTAAAATAGAGAGTCAATGTTAAAAAAAGAAACATGCAATAAACGAAAGAAATAATGTCAAATTTTATGATTAAATTAAAGATAATGGATAAAAATGTAAGAGAAAATTTCCTATTTTGGAATTTACAAACGTTTTCAAAATAGGAGTAAAAAAGTTTGAAAATTCCAAAACAGGATTGTCGTATTTTTATTCCCAGAATAGGACTAATTAATGCCAAGTTTGGAAAATACTGTCATGTTTAAAGTCTGGTACCGCCAAAACATGACAGTAATTAATCCTATTTTGAGAATAAAAACATGACAATCCTATTTTAGAATTTACAAACGTTTTCAGTTTTTGGTGACTACTCCGTATTTTTATATTCAATTTTTACATTTAAATAACGATAATGTTATATACTTAGAATAACTTTTATCCCATTTTTTCAATTAACTTTATTTCAGTAATAATTTTGGAAAAACCTCTAAAAACTTAATGGAAGTAAAATTGTTTTCCTCTTCTTCAAAAATATGAGTGAAGCAATAAAAAATAGACGAAGTTTGAGACAAATTTGACCAAAACTGGCCATCGTACAGACCATTGTCCCTATAAATTCCCACCTTCGTCGTCTCCCACTTCCCAATTCAAACGCTTCAATTTTTTTCAGCTCAGAAGAAAAAAGAATCTTCATCGACCCTCTGATGAGGGAAGCATTAGGTTCTCCGACAACTGCAAGAAACCATTGTATTAGGAAGAGTGGTAATGGAGAGTCCATACTCTGCACCGCCGCATTTGGATGCGTCTCGGCCGTCATTGGGCTTCCCTCTCGGCACCGCCCTCCTCTTGATCGTAATCTTCAGCTTGAGCGGCGTCTTTTCCTGCTGCTACCACTGGGACAAGGTCCGATCCCTCCGGCGATCATTCTCCGACGGTACCGCTGCCGACGGTGATGGCGGGCCCCACAAACCCACTACTGATTCACAAGCGGTAAGGATTTTTACCATTTCATGGCCTTTTTTCTGAGTTCTTGGAAATGATCGAATTAATTCAAAATTTCCTCTTTAACAGGACTTAAAGCAAAACAGGAGCCTGACTCTGCCGGTAGTAATGCCGGGAGATCAAGTGGCGAAGTTCTTAGCTCTGCCTTGTCCACGTCACCCGCTTCATCCGGAGAAGATTGTGGTGGAAGTGCAGACGCCGCCGTCGCCGCCGTACAAACCTTTTGTCCGTGGAGTCGAATCAGTGCCTTTCTATTAGATTACTTGATGATCGAAATGCAACTGGAAATCAGGAAAGTTATTTATTTAGGTTTGGATTTTTGAAGAATCAGGAAAATATATCAGTATGCGGTTGTTGCCTTGTTGGTGGAGAGGTCTCTGTTATTAGCTTTCGTTGTTTACTCTGTTCATTAGTCGCCTAGATTTGAAGGAAGCACTGTACATACGAATATCATTCTTACTCTTCCTTCCTCGTCAATTCCTTCTATTAATGGTACTGTACTGGTTAATCTTCTTATATCAACAAAGTTATAAAAATTTCCTTGAAATTTCGTACTTGCAGAAAATATCAAACTACATCTGTAATCTACGATATACGCGATCCACATGTGACATGTGAGAGATATACAAAAAATCCGTGTATGACATTTCCCTTTCTTCTCACGACCTTATATGTTTTGGGAACTTTATCCCAATAATGTCAACTACAATTTCTATATGTTCTAAAGATTTTACATATCAGTAGAGCCTCCGAAGAATCCTTATCATAATGTTTCAACTCTTGGGATGTTTTTACTTATATTTATTTCAGTTCTAGACTAGACAAGATCCATCGGTGTAGATCAGAACTCGACAATTGTATAATACGCAGAGATCATGTATTTATTAGACCAGACGAGACCTTTCAAAGAAATCTTGTCCAAGTCATTCTTATATCTAAGCTAGCGGTCGATTCATTGTTTTGTTTCCTATTTTTTTTCTAAAGCCACCATAATTAATGCTGAACAAACGTGTACGATAATCGATATCAGCTACGAAGATTTTTTGATAATGTATTTTTGAAACAGTTTAATTATGGGAATTGGGAGTCGCCCACAACTTGGCATACTTTTTCTCTATAGTACGTAACATTGATATTAAACATAATAAAAATATTAAGAAATCATTATAAGAAATGAGCCAATGAGGCCTGAGGAATGGCTGGATTCATAAGATGATTTTTGTTTAATCAAAAAATGTTTTGGTCCAAAAAATGTTATTTAAAGTTACCCATCCCATTTCGGTTGTATAAAAAAGTTGAGCTACTATAAAAAAAACTTGGATAAGTCACTAAATTGGGGAGTGGGCCAGTAGGGATAACTCAAGTTGGTGTATGCATCGTCCCTCAAAAAAATTTATGATTAAATATTGTGACATTTTACAATATCAACAAAGCAGATTCTCCGATTCTCCTAATCTCCTCTATAGTAATTATAACTTACTCCCTCCGGTCCGTATTAAAGTTCTCACTTTCCTTTTTGGGATGTCCCTTTTTTAGGTTCACACTTCAATTGTAGGAAACAAAATAGTGCCAAATAGTGCCAAACAGTGTCCAAACAGTGTCAAACAGTGCACTCCACAGTAAAGTCAAATTTATTTTCTTAATCTGTGTGAAGTCAAACTGGGAACTTTAATAGGGACCAGAAAGAGTATAATTTATTTTTAATACTCCGTATGTTTATAAGAAAAAACATGTTTGGAACAAAAAATAAACAGAAATTTGGAAGCAGGGAGGAAACAAACAAGTTTATAGGAACTTTTTAAGTCGAAACATGTTTCAGAAAAAATAAACCGACATTAGAAATTGATTAAAAAATTGTAACTTTGTTTTTCTTTATTCAGGTTTTCCATAATTGGGTGAGGAATGGGGAGAGCTCCATGAGAGTTTGTTGACCAGAGATGGGGGAAAGGTAATGGTGGGAAGCATGATTTAAGAATGGTATGAATAGGAAGAAGAATGAGATGAGGGAAAAGGGAGTAGTGGCTGTTCTGTTAAACAGTGATTAGATCCCCAAAGTCCAAACAGTGACCTAATTTTGATGTGGAAAAAGAGTTCATTGTTTTTTCGGTTTGCACTGAAGGCCCTACCACTACTTAGTGTGTTCCAGTACAATTTCCGTTTTCCGTATGAATTGTTGTTTTCTGGTACAATATATATCAACTTTTTCACATTACCTTCGACAACTACACCACCGAGACACCCACTTTCCATTAATTATTAAAAAAAAGAGTAACACTCTATCCCTGAGGGTCTCCAACTCGGATCGGACGGTACATTGGAGGGATGTAAATTAGACTATAATCCCAATGTGATAGATAGAGAGTGAGGTTCTGTTTCCGGTACTTGCAGAGGCCCTATGCAATTTTAGCATAGTAACCCTTCATCGCAGTTGTCGGGATTCGAACCCTTGTGGCATTCCCTTGCTACCAGTTAAGCTACGCCCACCGGTTTCCATTAATTATTATGATCCAGATTTGTAAAACAAAAATATGGAACATGCATACATGATACAAGAGAAGTAGACAAAAAGATACATAAGAATTAACAAGTAAAATATTTCTTTCCTTATTGGAACGGTTTTATATATTATGGAGTATTAGTAAGTTTTTTCACAATGTCAAGTACATGTAGACACACTACAACAAAGTGGGTCTTTTGCGTCGACAAAATGTCGACGCAAAAAGTAGCAAATCGACGCAAATAACTTATTTGCGTCCACTTGTCGACGCAAAAAGGTCGACACAAATATTCAGACGCAAATAGTTCTTTTGCGTCCACAGCGTGCGACACTAATGACAAAAACTTATCTGCGTCGACATGTGAACGGAAAAGATATTACGGATATAATCAGCTACATGCCGACGCAAAAGACTATAATGTTAATTGTGTCGACGCGTCGACGCAAATAATGAGATCAATTGCGTCAACATGTTGATGCCAAAGATGACATCTGCATTTAATTCTACCAATTTTTTGCATCAATGTGTCGACGCAAATAATTAAAAAAATTGTATATATTCATTTTATATTGTCCATTTGCTCCTGGTGCACAATTTTTAATCACGATCAAAGTTGACAGAATCAAAATGACAAAATTTAATATCATTCCCAACATATCAATTCGTTAGATGTCTAATAATATTAAATTAACGTCAAAACTAAAGTTTGTTGAAACAACATTCCCAACTACGTAATGAAATAAATATGCTCATAGTTATTCAATTCTCACAGTAACCATTTAATCAGATTCAAAATATTAAAAAAACAATTACAGCTAATCGAAGAGAAGAGTGAAATAGATATGGTTCATCACTGCCAAAATACGTAGATGTAATACAGAACATTATCTAAGTCAAAGAACTGCTTCCATTGCAGGGAAACCAGTTTCAGAGGCACCTTAGCTGAACTTTCCAAGCTCCATTTTCTGATGAGAGTGAATAGGAGCCGAGGGGATGAACTGATGAGAAAAATAGAAAACTAAGGTTGAAATCTGAATAGCCAACTTTAAACAGCCAAGTGCGAGAACGAGTCAGACGGAAAGAGGTAAGCCAACACGAATAAGGGAGGGCTGATTCACCTAGAGAAAACTTGAACACGACCTGACGGATGATTCACCAAGAGGACGAAGGGAACTGCCGGGGAACGAAGATTTCCGCTCTGCTCGTCCATTGAGTTGGAAAGTTGGAAATATAGCCTAGCTAAAAGTGAGCTGCTCCTTTTAATTTTCTTTTCAGCATTTGCGTGGACACCCATCGACACAAATGTAATTAAACTCTTTTAGCATAGACAAGACGACGCAAATAATGAAATTGTATAAGGTTTGAGCGGGATTTTAATTAATGTCATTTGCGTCCATTTGTCGACGCAAAAGAGTAGTTATTTGCGTTCACTTTAGTCGACACAAAAAATTTTTGACGCAAATAATACTTTTTCTTGTAGTGACATTGTGATTGACAATATTTTCTACTGATTTGATCTCGGTCCCGACCCAGGACTTCATTTTACAGTTCCAGCCCCGATTTAAAATCACTGGTCTAAGGACCGGGATCGAATTCACCCTTACCCGTTCCTATACTTCTTTTTTGCATAGTTGTCCATGACACTAGCACATTATATTAGCACATGAACTAAGGGAGAGCTCTCCAAATAGGACCAAAACATGCTCATTTCTAAAAGTAAAACTTAATGTTTAAAATTCTATAGATAAAATTTATATTTGTGATTGAGAAAATATACCCTTATAGGGTTCGCCAAAAATCCATTGTTGTTCGCCGCCTCCGCCTTTGGAGTGCTGCCGCCACTGATTATGCTCAAGGTAACTAGGGACAATTTTTATTTATTAATTTATTATTATATGAAGGGTAAAATTGTTATGTTTAGTCACATTTAAGGAAAATATAACATGAAATTCTATTTAGAGAAAGATCAATTGATAACGAGTAATAGAACGCACATAAGTGGAAGGGCGCAAGTTCTCTGCAGTGGGTTTGGTGCCGCCTCTTTGGTCGGCGAGTTTTAGCACCAAAGAGATGGTGGGAGCTCGACGGTGTGCGCTTCCTTTGCGCAAGACTTCATTGGCGTTTCAATGACGCGAGGGAGATTGAGGGTGCTCGGAAGGAAATCGTCCGCGCAGTAGACAGGAGCAGAACCTTCTGCGCTAGCATCTAGAGTTGTGTCGTGTCGGCGTCGATAATCACAGTGAAGATCCGACCTCCTCTCTAACCACGACCATGGGTTGAATGAGGTGTTAGAGTTTAAGAAATTTATCCTATTAGTTATTGTTATTTTGATGTTTGAATTCTTGTTAGAGTCTTTGTTGCTTATTATGTCAGGATGATTGTAAATTTAGCTTATTTTTTGTCATTAGAAGTATACACATCTATAGGACTCATGATAGCTGTGTCAAGCTTATTTCGTGGTTGGCGATTTGTATTGGACTTTCAAGGGTGGTCATTTATATATTTGATCTTATGGTTGTAGTCATAAATAGTGGAATTTAGTTGGTGTTAGGTATGATCTTTCTTTGCTTGATATAATGATCCTGAAACTAATGATATAAGGATAAGCCATTTTCTTTCAATAAAATCCTATTTAGAGAATACTCCTATGCTTTAGTCCTATTTAGTTTAATTTTCTCTTGAATTAAGTTTTTTTTTTAAATTAAATAACTAATTTCTTCAAATCAAATGATGATAGCAAAGAAACAAGTAAATCAATAGCCTAAGGCTACAATGAGATTGGACTTTGAATGTAAAAGATCTCATTAATCCTTCCAGATCGTTAATCCCGCAATAACGTAGTCTAGTCTAACAGTCTTGGTGCATTTGCTATCCCAAATAAAAAATAAAAAGTTATAAATAAAAGATTGGACTTCACCCACGACCAGGAAGGAAAAATTGATTTGAATAGCAACCAAGATCCGGCAATATCTCGATCGTTAATTCCAGAAAACAGCAAATTAAACTTCTAAGTTCTATGTCTTCTTGCTATTTCACGCGGCACACCAATCT